AATTTCCTGACGACCTAATACATATTTTACACATTATATAGGCTAGACTAACGTGACGTTTAGGCGGTTTGTTCAACTATGATACGTGATGTACTTTGTTTTTGTATGGGGGGGGGGTAATGAAAGTGTTCCAAAACGCAACATTAATTTCCTGACGACCTAATACATATTTTACACATTATATAGGCTAGACTAACGTGACGTTTAGGCGGTTCGTTTAACTATTATACGTGATGTAATTTTTTTTCGGGGGGGGGGTAATGAAAGTGTTCCAAAACGCGACATTAATTTCTTGACGACCTAATATTTACAGATACTTGAAAGGATTTAGTTAAAGAAAATACAATAGCAAAATTAGAAACATTTAACTCTTCAAAAAATGCTGTTATATAGCCTGCTTAACTGTCAATACGCTTTGAAGATCTGCTTTACTATGTCAATTATAATTAATGTAAAGTAAGTAAGTATTCATAGATATATACTTCTTATTACTCCTTGGTGAAATCAGTCTGAATCACAAATAATGTTTTTATTAACAAATGTATTAAAAATGATCAGTATTGACGTAAAGAACAAAAACGCCAAGAATTAGTTTAATTGTGACGACATAGTAAAAGAAACTGATAATAATATTATATTCTCATTATTAGCGCCTCTCCCCTTGTGGACTTACAACGCTAGAATTCGGGTTTCGATACCCGCGGTGAGCAGAGCACAGATAGCCCATCGTGTAGCTTTGTGCTTAATTACCAACAAACAAAACTCATTATTAGCACACTTGTAAACAGTCAGCTGCTGTATAACAAATGTAAATGTAAGCAGTACATTTTTTTATTTAACTTGTGAGACTTCATTTCCAATTTGTAATTGTTGTGTATGCATACATACTTTTATTACACATACAAATAAGAAAAATGTTAATTTCTTATTTGAAAAGGGTGAATGGTATGGACATGGTTAAAATATTTCGTTATTTAGAAACAATAAAATAGTTTACGTAAAGTCGAAAATCTGATAATTTTACTAAATTATTGCATATTCCGATGGCCAGGAGTAACATTACTAATATTGTATGCTAAAATCTGGGGTCCGATTCTTCACGGTGGACTTAGCGCAGACAACCCATTGTGTAGCTTTGTGCTTAAAACAACAACATGTAAGTGTCGCCATCTATTATGCAATGTGGTCTCTCTTTCTTTTTTTTTGTTATTACTATCTATCTATACGCTATAATAAAAGTTGATTATACTAATGTTTCGTGTTTCTCCAATTTCTGTAGATTAGAAATCCAAACCTAAATAAAAGTTTATAATTATTTTGCACTTCTCTCCAAAAACGGGAATTTAAAAATGAACATTTTAAAGTATTATTCATTTCCACATTTTTAATTAAAAAACATTTTTACTAACGTGTGTGATATAACTTAGTTGACTTTTAATGTAGAACACTGTGTCAGTCAACATTAACAATGTTCGTGTTACAATACAGACATAATTTGAATATATTAAAGTAGATTTGTGTATTTCAATTTTCACAATTTTGAGTTTGAGTTGCTCATGCTAGGAGGGGGGGGGGTGGCACCACTAAAGATTCAACATTACACAGTTTATGTTTCTCCTGTTATCAACTCGTCACTTACATTTTAAGTTTAGTATTCATCATCTCAGTTTATAATCAGTTTATTGTTTATATTTAACATAGTAACACTGTTAGTATATTTGATACGTATAAAACGAACAAATCAAATTTTAGGATTTAAATTCATCTTTGACTTCTTATATAGTTTCGTACCTTAGATAGTTTATTGTTCAACTTTGTGATTAACAACAAACACAAAAGTTCTTTAATAACACGTGACCATTAAAGCCAAGATTCGTTCCACGTTATCAACATCACACTGAACTTATTGCTCAGCACAACTGAATCACCGTATTTAATAAATCACTACAGTGTAGTTGCTTTATGATAGTTTTATTTTCTAGATAAAGGTATCAGAGAGTTAAACATATCCCAAAAAAGAAGGAAACCACGACAGATATAGATTATCATATTATAGGTAATATGTAGATGCTGGTCCTCATCAGATGTTAAGTGGTCCGTTGAGGCTGTAAATATAAATAACATAAAAATAATTTAATATTAATATCAGTTCATTTAGAACAAACCCAATAATATTTTATTCAATATATCAGCCATATTACTTGATAAGAAAAAAATAGCTAATGTTCTAAAATAGAGACAAAGCTTTATAATTTTTGGATTGCATAAAAATGATAGCCATGGAAAGGCAAAATTCTAAAACATATATCTTACATAGTATTTACAGTTATATTTCTTTGTTCGATAAAACGGGATTTATTTCTTTTAAAATGTTTGTGTTTCGTTATTATTGGTTCATCTCATGTACTGGTTCATATTTCTTCAATGATGTCGTATTTCATTCCATTGTACAAAGTGTTGCTATACATATAGTTATAACTGTATAGGACATAAACAGGACACAGTTGTTTTTGATGTCCAATAAATGTATAACTTCCAATGTCTCATAGTTATTATTCTAAAGTGTTGTGTACCTGAAGCCTTATAATGAGGGTTACTTGTGTCATTTCATACATATTCCTCATATGATTATTATTCTACCTGAAGCTTTATAATAAAGGTTACTTGTGTCATTTCATACATATTCCTCATATGATCATTATTCTACCTGAAGCCTTATAATGAGGGTTACTTGTGTCATTTCATAAATATTCCTCATATGATTATTATTCTACCTGAAGCTTTATAATGAGGGTTACTTGTGTCATTTCATACATATTCCTCATATGATCATTATTCTACCTGAAGCTTTATAATAAAGGTTACTTGTGTCATTTCATAAATATTCCTCATATGATTATAATTCTACCTGAAGCTTTATAATGAGGGTTACTTGTGTCATTTCATAAATATTCCTCATATGATTATAATTCTACCTGAAGCTTTATAATGAGGGTTACTTGTGTCATTTCATAAATATTCCTCATATGATTATAATGCTGACTGGATTCTCTGGAATGTATCAGTCCATTCAGAAGATTTAATAGAGTGAATATAATACGGCATCGTGTATTTTTCTTCCTTTAAATTATGTAACAATAAGTAAGAAATATATGGCTAAATATTACATTTTCATTTCAAAAATGGAAAAAAAACTATAGTAACGGTGATATATTTTGGTGTTAGTTTCATTTTAAAAAGACGAAAAAAGTTTCCAACACCTCAAGTGAAAACAGTGAAGAAATTAAACAACTGAGTTCTAGCGAAGTGTTGATTTTTAGTCATAATGCTTCAATCTATATAAGAAAATGTCGATCGGTGTTTAGTGTCTTTCTGGCCTTGTTAAAAATAAAATGTAAAGTGGAATACCTTAATATATAACGACGTATTTTCATAATATTAAAAAATAATATAATCATCAAAGCACCAGTCTTTGTTAAAAATAAAATGAATATTAACACAAAATTAAAAAGATTAATTAATAAACATATTTAAAGTATATATATATTTAATAGTGATGATATTTTAAAAATAAACTGAAACTTGTGATACACGAATAGTTACTACAAGGTCTAACTGTTATATATCACGTTATTTGAAATAGTTACTACAAGGTCTAACCGTTATATAACACGTTATTTGGAATAGTTACTACAAGATCTAACCGTTATATAACACGTTATTTGAAATAGTTACTACAAAGTCTAACCATTATATAGCACGTTATTTGAAATGGTTACTACAAGGTCTAACCATTATGCGGGTGGTGGTGGTGGTGTCGCTGGTGGTGTTGTTGTTGGTAGTGGTGGTGTTGCTGATGATGATGAACATCTGCTTGTTGGACTTAAAGTTATGAAAGATATCACAAGATTGGAAATTTCAACAAACATGAAATGTATTTGTTTACAGCTTCAAGATTAGTTTATAGAAATATATCACGTATCTCGATCTCCTGTACTGTACTGGGTGACTAATTTGTTCTAAACTTCGCCCTAAGTCCAACTTCTGAGTCCAATCATGACTATTTTCTACTGCTTCATGAGATCCTTGTATTGTGTCCTACTTTACCTTCTTCATTTCAAGTACATTTTATATTTCCATTTACAATTGTTCATCCAGTTTTCTAATAGGTCAGCGTACTTTTCAGACTTATGGAATTCATTTTATTTTTCAACTCCACATCCAACTATCATTCAGTCGATGGATGACAGATAAGATTGAAGACTTATAACGTTAAAATCTGGAGTTCGATTTGCCGTGAAGAACAGAGAGCAAGTTAAATATTCTATTGTGTAAGTTGAGCTACAAACCACGAGCACTGGATCAAATTCACATGTGTCAAATCAATGCTCCTGTCTTTGTATACTAGAACCCCTAATCATAGTCATTATGAAGATCAGGAAACCATCTACTACATGTATCTTTGTTATACCATAGTTATATATTGCTCTATCTATCCTTAATCAATTCAATAGTTAAGTATATTTAGATAAATAATCACTTTCAAAGACTTATTTCAAACATTGACGTCACAAAATCTGAAAAACACTAGTAAATGTAGAAATTAATTTTGGTAGTTTTAGATCTGAGTAGTTAATGT